ACCCCTACAATATTATATTCTAATACATAGTTCATATTCAAACTTGCCAGTTGTCCCAATAATGTCCTTTATAGCAAATTCTGCTTTAGGGTCCAGTGTAGGAACACTCATTATATTTAATTTGTTGTATCTCTAGTCTTCAACATTTTTTTAATGTGTGCCAAATACTGTATCTTATTACATGTAATATTTTCATACACTCTAATGAGGTAGGTAGTATAATCCCATTTTACAGCTTTTACATTTCAAAAGTTTCAAGAAGCATATCCAGTGTCTCATAATAAGCAGCAGGGGTCGCATTCAAACCTAGGTTGGTTGGTTGGTTTAATAATACAAAGCACATGTTCTTCACAGTTGACTCTCTTCATTATTACCCTGCTTTTTCAAATAATTCTCCCCTCAAGACTTGGTTTTCTCATTTATAAAATGAGCTCAGTAACCACAGCGCCTTTCATTGAAACCCCCAGGAAGGCAAACGGGTTTAAATTTTTTAGGAACTTCCCAGGGATCTGTAGGGTTAGAGGTGATTATCACTGAAATGTGGTGCTTTGTACTTAGAAAATGTCAGGAGGTGTTTGTAAGGATGAGTTCAGTGAGTTCAGGCCATAGTCTTCAACTTTTAATAGGTCCTCATCCATTCTTTTTTTTTTTTTTTTGTCTTTCATGGCGTTTTGAGGTGAGGCCAGTTTGTAGAATATCTCTCAATTTGAGTTCTTATGATTGGATTCAGATTATGCGTTTTTGACAGAAATATTACATAAGTTGTATGTCCTCAATACATCACATCAAGAGGCATATGCAAATTTGTCCTTTTATTGGTAACATTGGCAACTTAGTTTTAAGGTAGTATCTGTCAGATTTCTGCAAGGCAAAGATATCTTTTTTCCTTTATAATAAAAAGTCATCTGTATAAATATCCTGTTCCCCAGCAAGTACTTACCAATAATTTTAATGCCTATTTTGCCCAAGTCAATTATTGTGAGGCTTACAAAATGCTGATGTTTTAACTTTATCATTCTTTCTACATTTATTAGTTGGCATTCTACTATAAAGATGGTCTTTTTCTCCATTTATTTACAATTTTTAGTGTCAGTATGGTCTCAGATTATTTTTGAATTCAGTTTGTTATATCCATTACTGTCATTAGTCTTCTTAAGTTGTTTTGCTGAGGTATAATTTACCTACAGTAAAGTACACAGATCTTAAGTGTGCTGATGATGAATATTTTTACATGAACACCTGTGTAATCACCACCTAGATGAACAGAACATTTCTGACATCAGAAGACTCCCTCATGGCCTTCTCAGTCTCATTATTTGTTTTGTCTCTGACTTCAACCTGGTTCATGTGTCTAAGTCTCCATCTTTTTCACTTTCTGGCACACATTATTCTAGGCTCATCTTGTACTTTATCTGTTCCAGCCTGGGAATTGGCCATTTCTCTCAAGGAGCCCTGGTTCCTGATTCCTCTTGTTGAGGACGTTACTTTGAAATCAGTATCTAGACACTAGCTGTGCTCATTCTACTGGGATGTTATTGCTTTTAGGCCCTTTCAGAGGTTAAAGCTAGAAAATATCTAGTTTCATCTATTTAAAATTTATTCTTAAAATCACAACTCTAATTTCAATCAATCATAAGTTTCTTCCTCTCCTTTTCCCATTCCAAATTTCGTATTTTCACAGTAAGAACCTTGGCTGTGAACTGCATCAATATGTTTATTGCTTTGCTCAATTTCAAATTAATCCCATTGTATTACCAAACAAGCCTAAGTAAAGTTCAAGATTTCTTTGCAATTATTTTGTCTTTAAGTTGGTGATATAAAGTCAAAGTACTCCATTAAAAAGTTACCTGGATTCGTTTTTCCCCTTTTATATGGATGGTTGCGATTCCAAAGTGACATTTCTAAGACAATTGTAAGAAGATTAAATGAATTCATTCTATGCCTCATTCGCTGGAACATAGCCTCC